TGAAATATATGTTTGGGTGCACACTTGCTTAGCTACATTAACATATGTTTTGCCTTTAAATCTTTTTCTTTGTTTTCTTTTTATGGAAAAATACGTGAGATCAAAATTGATAATGTTCTGATGACCTTGATCACTTTAAACAGTCCAAATCATTGGGACAACACATTCCCAAAGAAATATTTTCTTTCGTCATAGAAAGGCCTTTAAGGTGACCTTAAAGGCATATGGACCATGACTTATAATGATTTGATTTTAATACTTTATGGAATTTGAAGGTTATGACATTGATAGAGATAACGGTGTATCACCTAATATATATGTAAACAAATAATATTGTACCTAAAGACCTTGTTAAGATAAGTATGTTAGTATGAAGAAAACAAGGTAACTTCTGTCTGGTATTACTGCCGATATTTACAGCAATTGATAAAATATTTGTCACAAAGTGGACAAAAGCAGGCGACAGCTAAACATTGTTTGCCATTTTTATTTTAAGAATTAATTAAAAAAATTCATTCATTCGTTAACATCAGTTTAATTGTAATTATGCATACGAATATCCAATATCTTCACGTTTTAATAGTTTATAACCCTTTCAAAATTACTGAAAAAATACTTAAAGCTTCTTAAACAAAGATCAACTATTCCATATTTGAACACCTGTCGTGAATAATAATTCATTTATGTATTACTTTTGTACATTTATTTTTAAATGGTTATAATTTATTGTTGTTTTTTGTTGTTTTTTTTTTCGTAAAAAAGTAAAAATTAAATTATGCTTTTATAAACAATAAACTAGAAATGTGTCCATAGAACACAGGAACCCCTACTCTCTACTGTATACTGATGTACAGCAGGTCACAGTATGACTGAGGGACATATAAAGGAAATTCTACATGATTTCACATACCCCTAAGTGGTTGGGGGCATCAAAACGACATGAAGTTTTTTCAATGTTGACATCTTGAATGTTTCCAAAAGCAGATGCATAACACATGCTTTCCAAAAGTCCTTTTAACTTTCATGACTCCAAATAAGATATTTTTGAGGTACTCATCAAGCAATTCAAATATTGCAAATTTATACTAAATCAAGGGCAAGAAGTCTATATAAACTGAATTAATCCACACACAAAACCCTGTGTGCTTAACTTTACATGCTGATCAACTACCCGTAAAGGTTGTTGACGCTAGCTCAAGCACTTTTAGAGACACAAATGACACAACAATTTGGAACAGCTTTTATTAAGTCAAGGGCACTAACTCTACAATTTCTTATTAAAGATAAAAAACGCAAAGTCCCAATTGCACAACTACACATGCTGACCAACATTTCTGTGAAGTTTCATGACTCAAGGTCAAATACGTTTTTTGCTTCGTGTGACACAAGTTGAAAATTGCAAATGTTTACTAACTGAAGGATAATTACTCTGACAAAACTAAACTGATTCACATGCGAAATCCCATATGCCCAACTTCATATGCCGATCAGTATTTCTGATGACTCTAAGATTCATGACTGTAGGTCAAATACATTTTTGGCTACGCGCGGCACAAGATAAAAATTCAAAATGTTAACTAAGTCAAGAGCAATAACTCTTTAAATACTGAATAAATGTACCAGTAAACACCAAATTGCACAACCTCACTTGCTGATCAACATTTCCGTAAAGTGCCATGATTCTAGATTAAATACTTTTTGGACTTCACGCGACGCAAGTTGAAAATTGCAATTTATAATAAAGTGAACAGCAATAAATACTGAGTACATTCTAACGCGAAACCCCAGGTGCACAACTTTTTTATATACTGATTAACATTTCCATAAAGTTTCATGACTCTATGTCAAATACCTTTTGGGCGACTACGCACGACACAAGTTGAAAAATGCAAATTTTACTAAGTCATGGGCAAAAACTTTGACAAAACTAAATAAAAACACAACCCAAACCACAAATACACAACTTCACATATTGTTCAACACTTCTGTTAAGTTTGTTGACTCTAGCCCATGAGAACAGAGGACGCGCGCACGCACGGGCGGACGGACGGAAAAGGGCAAAATCTAAATGCCTCAAGTAAGTGGGGGACACAAATATGAATTGTATACGATATGGCCTTTATAATTTTGTTGTTCTACTTTTGTTAATCAAATATTATCTGACATATATTCTGTCAACAAATTTTCCCATTTGGAATGTTGATATCTTTTAATTCACCTGTTAACCTTATGAAAATGATCTCATGGAAATTTACATTTGATTTTTACTGGTGATATGAATAAGATGTAAATAAACATACTGTCCCTAGCCTTGACCGCTTTAAACGAGAAATACCTTTTAAACAAACGAAATGTCATAAAAACGTCACATGTGGTAGTTTAATTGAAATAACTTACATTTTACCAGTAATTTATCATCATTTGGTATAAATTCGAGACACGTTGGATTGTTAAATTACTTATTCGACACAGGTAGCACAGATTTTCACCTTAAATTGGTTATCATATAGCAATGTACCGAGAGACTTTAGGTAATTTGGTAGTACAAATAAAACACGACATGCTGTTAAGCTTAACCCGTTTGGTTGAGGTTTAAATAATAAAATGATTGCACACTTACTACATTGTTGACAAAGAAAACAAAAAGATAATGCCTTTATATTCTCAGCTTTGAGCAAGCGTTAAATACTTAGGTTGACCGATAGGTAAAACGGATGCGCATAAATGTTATGCATTTATTTCACGGCGTTTTTACTGACCGATCTATCAAAATTTGGTAAAAATAGAAATCAAATGTGGACGATTCTGAATTTGCAATTACGCTATAATATATATCGCAACAAACTAAACAAAAACGCAACATTATTTGATCATTTAGAGATACAAATAGATAAGTGTTAACACGTTTTATACTTCAAGGAAGCTTTTTGTATATTTCAGGAATTGGTGCAAACATAGAAATCAAAAGTGAAGTATGCTATAAATATTTCCAATAAAGTAAGAAATTTCGCATGCTGTGTCGGTCGACATAACGGTTGTATTCAACAATTTACTCTTGTAGTTAGTATATGTTTTTGGTGAGTGTGAACATAATTGAATAAGGTTTGATTAGTATATGTTTTTGGTGAGTGTGAACATAATTGAATAAGGTTTGATTATACTATTTATTAGAATGTATAGCTCAGGTGAACTGTGGGTGCTTATTGATCAAAGTCAAACTTTTCAACTTGTTACGACGAGAAGAAATGATTGAATTGTTTAAATGTGAAATTCTCACTAAGCTTGTGTTGAGGGTTAGTGGCAGGTGGCCGGGAGGGCGGAGGCATGATTGAATTTATTGCATTTACCATAACTGCCTATCAAACCGACATTGTAGTCTTTATAATATTGCCGTTTTGGCGTTCTTTCTAGTTTCTTTTATGTTTCACGAATGATACTAAGTATCATTGCTGCATTTTGTTTTTTAATTTTGAAATAAAAAACATTTCCATCTTTTACATTTGATTTCTGTTTTAACCTGTTCCAGGGACCGTAGACTTAGCTTGCACGTAACTCTATCATAAATAAAACGAAACCGGATTTTCTTTTAATTTGCCGTATTGTGCAGCCTCAAAGATTTCTATTTTATTATTTTTATTAAATTATCTCCTGTTCATGATAATTGCATTTAATTTCTTTCATATCATGTGAAGCGGGGAAGTTCAAATGATTGAAATATCATTTCACAACTCTTGGTTCAATAAATGGAAACGTAGTTAGACAGATAAATAGCTGGCCATGATACATTAACAAGGTGCTTCAAAATAAAAACATTGCCATGAATGACAAAAATATAATTTTTTGCTAATATTCTTGACTTTAATTCACAATGTCATGAAAACTTCTTAATGCGAATACCACTTCAGCCGAAAGTTGGAACATATAAAAGTAACTTTTATTGTTATTACATTTGATTTGTGAAGGTCGTGCGATTTAATATTCATTTGATCAGTGTTTAATCTCAAGTGCTGTGTGGCAGCTGTAAAAGATGCCCCGCACTTCACTTTAGTGTTGTTATATTTTTCTGGTCCTTTGGGATAATTGTGTCCTGTAGTTTTAAGTGTTGAGAATTAAGTATTGCTCAAGTCGGTGCTAGGGGTTTGGATGATGTTGCACTTTCATTATGACTCATGTACAGACTCAATGAGCCGAATCTGCAATTTTTGTATAATTTTGCTGTTTTTAATGTTGTTTTTTATATATGTATACTGTAATATGTATTTCTCATTGTATTGGGAAAAAAAACCTTTTAAGTAACAGCACTCTTTAAGTGCAATACATGTACTAGTATTCAGTTCAACGTAAAACAAGAAATATTTCACCACCGATTTTCGCTGTAATATGTTGTGTTTGTTTCATAAATATCAAATCTTTATCAATATGCCTTGCTCAATATTAATAACTGAATGATTTATTGCCTACTAATGTTTCCCTTTATTGTTAAAAAACTTATTTGTTTATTGGCTGAAATTCATAAGAAACTATGGAGGAGGGCTTTGATTATTAGCTGTCTATCATTGCAGTTGATACAATATTATGAAAGACGTGCAAATCATATGTTGCTGTAATATGATAAAGGCAATGAGATAATATCCGCATTATTTGAATTGTTCGATTGATGGTCTACTCTTTAATAAAATCTGTTGATGTTGCTTTAGCTGCTGTTCATTCATTTGTTCATTGACATGCCATTTCCTTATAGTACAAAAACAATTAATCAAAATATTTAATTGTATATACATACATAATGATATCATATAATATTGAATATTTTATTTTATACAATATACGAAGACAAATCAAATGATAACCAAAATCATTCAAGATCTTTTTTATCATGTCACTTTACTAAATGCATTGATGAAGATAAAGATCAATGTTTAAATATATATAATGTTCGTTACCAAATCTTAAAAGAACTAAGAAATATCTTAAATTAAATGTATAATGTAACTTTTTAGATTATATACCTGATGATAATTTGTTTCATATTTTTGGTACTGTTGATTATGATGGTAGTTATTTTAACACTCCACGTCGCAGTAAAGATAGTATACGAGGAAATAACTATGGCAAGTTTTTAGTTAATCTATGTTGTTTATTTGATATTCATATATTGAATGGAAGGTTTGAAGGTGATATTGATGGCAATTTTACCTGCTTTTCTAATGATGGTGCTAGTTTGGTAGACTACATGATAGCCTCCTCAAATTTATTTTCTTACATTAGAAATTTCTGTGTCTTAGATAGAGATGATTCGGATCATTTCCCCCTATCATGTGAATTAGCATTGATTAAAAAGCCTGTGCTTAATATGCGTGGTAATGACGTTGAACCTTTAACTCCCATTAAAAGGTATAAATGGAATCAGTCTCACATGCTAAGTTTTATTGATAATTTTAAAAGTACTTTGCAAAATATATCTCATTCTTTGAGTAATACGGTTTGTAATGATGTTAACACAGGTGTTAAGGCAATTACTTCATTATACCACGAAGCTGGTCAGTGTATGTTAGTCAAAAATATGAGCGGACGTTTCTCTTCACAACCTCCATGGTGGAATTCTACTTGCGACAATCTTAAATATATTAAATATCGAGCGCTAAGGAAATTTAGAGAATCTAATTCACTGCTGGATCTCAGAATATTTAAAGATAAGCGCAATGAATTTAAGAACTATTGTCGGATTATGCTTTTGCAATACCAATTTTCAAATAGAAACATGTTACTTGCTAGTAGTAATGATCCAAGTTCTTTTTGGAAAATTCTTAAGAGAGGTAAAACTTCAAGAGCTCTAGATATTAGTATCTCCCCATCTGAGTGGTATCAATACTTTGCAGGACTTCTTTATGATGAAAATGCTGTTGCTATTGATCAACCTTCTGATAATTATATTGACCCTTCTGCAAGTGTTCTTAATGAACCATTTACTTTAGATGAGATACTCAGATCTATAGCAAACTTGTCTGTTGGTAAATGTAGTGGCATCGATGGTATTCCGGCTGAATTTTTTAAGACTACTATGGATGATATAGCTCCAATATTTTTAGCATTGTTTAATCATATATTTTTAACTGGTAATATTCCATTATCTTGGAGGTCGTCTGCTATAACTCCTGTTTACAAGTCTGGACCAAGTAACATTCCTGGAAATTACAGAGGCATATCTATTACAAATACTATGTATAAAATATTTTCGGGTGTCATTAATAAACGGTTATATGATTGGGCTGAAGAAAATAATAAGATTGATGAATCCCAGGCAGGCTTTCGGAAGGGTTATTCAGCTGTTGATAACATTTTCCGTTTACAATCAATGGTTCAGAAGTATCTATCTAAAAAGTGTGGTCGTTTTTATTGTATCTACGTCGATTTCCGCAAAGCTTTTGATAAAATTAACCATAATAGACTATTTGTTTCTTTAGAGAAGAAGGGAATTCACGGTCAATTTATGAATACTCTCAAGTCTCTTTATACCGATTTAAAATCATGTGTCAAACTCAATAACAATGTCACTGATTTCTTCTCGTGTAATATCGGCACCCGCCAAGGGGACAAAACAAGTTCGACAATTTTTGATCTCTTTATAGATGAGTTGTCTGTCCTTTTACGTGAAAATTGTGATAGTGGTATTTTTATCACAAATGATATTCCAGATATTTTTTGTTTGATGTTTGCAGATGATGTAGCAGGGTGTGCCGAAACTGCATTTAAGCTTTAGCAGCAAATAAATATTATTGACAACTTTTGTTGTGATACTGGGATGGAAATAAATATGGATAAGACTGAAATTACGGTTTTTCGAAATGGTGGTCCTCTTCGTCGATATGAGCACTGGTCGAATCGTGGGACACAAATCGATATTACCTCTCAGTATAAGTACATGGGTATCTTACTTTCATCAAGTTTGTCATGGTCAGCCGCTCATTCTAAGTTAGTATCTCAGGCGCAAAGAGCTCTCTTTGCCATAAATGCTTATCAAAGACCTTTTGGTTATTTTTCTGTTGTTGATTCTTTTAAGATTTTTGATTCCATGGTCAAACCGATACTTTGTTATGCATCTCAAATTTGGGGCTATGGATATGTAGATACAATAGAATCTATTCATAATAAATTTTGTAAACGTATTTTATATGTACGTAGAACTACTAATACATGTATGGTTCTTGGTGAATGTGGTAGATTGCCTTTATGTACTACATATTATATAAATTGTATTCGATATTGGTGTAATTTGTTAACCATGCCATCACATAGATATCCAAAGCAATGTTATAACATGTTGAAATCTCTAGATGATGCCGGTAGAAACTGCTGGGCAACCAAAGTTAGAACACTTTTGTATAAATATGGATTCAGTTTTATATGGATAAGTCAAGATGTTGGCGATGTCAATGCCTTTATTACCATGTTTAAACAAAGAGTTGTTAACTATTGTACACTAGACTGGCAAACAGCTCTTGAATCCTCTAGTAGATGTGATCATTATAATAACTTTAAAAGCCTACTTACTGTTGAAAAATATTTAACTATGGATATTCAGTTAAAATATAGAATTGCTATGTCAAAGTTTCGCCTTTCAAATCACAGGCTGAATATTGAATTAGGTAGATATAATAATGTTATAAAAGAAAATCGTATATGTAACTTTTGCCAACAGTTTAATAATGCTAATGTAATTGATTGTGAATACCATGCCTTTTTTAAATGTGTTAAATATGATACTATTAGACAAATGTATTTATTTAGCTGGTATATACATGGAACAGAACTTCAAGATTTCTATGCTCTTCTGTCTTCTCAAAACCCTGACATTGTTAAAAATATATCTATTTACATCTATCAACTTATGAATATAATTAATGATACTTAAGTTTCACAATATACAACTACTTGACATTTTATTATATGTTATACCTTATGATGTATTTTGGACCGGAGGCCTTTATTTACAAATAAATGATTTGAGTTGAGTTGAGTTTTAGTTGTAATAAATTATCAGTCTGAACTAAGAATATAATTCCGGAAATGCTGTTGAAAAATAATCTTCTAAATACAGTATGAACATTTAAAACATAAAATAAGCATATCAATAATTTAAATACGTTTTCAAATTCATTTTTATTTGTAAATACATGATCATATTCTGTTCAATATGACCTATTGTATTTGTTAAGCTTATGTTTCAGATTCTTAGAATTTAGATTTAATTAAAATATAAACGAAACTCTAAACATGTGCCGTAACAAAACAACTAGTATTTTGAGACGTCAAATCAAGGCCACATACATGTATAGTCTTATATTGTGTTATGTTCATGCAGAATGTATTTATCTTTTTTATCAGTTTACATACATGTTAATTATTAAGATGTGTGAAGTTGGCGGCCTAGCGGCCTAGCGGCCTGGCGGCGTGAAGTTGGCGGCCTAGCGGCCTAGCGGCCTGGCGGCGTGAAGTTGGCGGCCTAGCGGCCTGGCGGCCCAGCGGCGTGAAGTTGGCGGCCCAGCGGCCTGGCGGCCTAGCGGCGTGAAGTTGGCGGCCTAGCGGCCAAAAATTTTAATGTTGTAAAAATGTTTTTTTAACAATAAAACGGCATTTAATGAAGTTTTAAAGATAATTATTGTTATTTAAATGATATATGTAAAGAAAAAATCACTTTCAGAGATTTTTTTAATTTTGCCATTTTTGTGAAGTTGGCGGCCCAGCGGCCTAGCGGCCCAAAATTTTAATGTTGTAAAAATGTTTTTTTAACAATAAAACGGCATTTAATGAAGTTTTAAAGATAATTATTGTTATTTAAACGATATATCTAAAGAAAAAATCACTTTCAGAAATTATTTTAATTTTGTCATTTTTGTGAAGTTGGCGGCCCAGCGGCCTAGCGGCCCAAAATTTTTATGTTGTAAAAATGTTTTTTTTTTAACAATAAAACGGCATTTAATGAAGTTTTAAAGATAATTATTGTTATTTAAACGATATATCTAAAGAAAAAATCACTTTCAGAGATTTTTTTAATTTTGTCATTTTTGTGAAGTTGGCGGCCCAGCGGCCTAGCGGCCTAGCGGCCCAAAATTTTAATGTTGTAAAAATGTTTTTTTTAACAATAAAACGGCATTTAATGAAGTTTTAAAGATAATTATTGTTATTTAAACGATATATCTAAAGAAAAAATCACTTTCAGAAATTATTTTAATTTTGTCATTTTTGTGAAGTTGGCGGCCCAGCGGCCTGGCGGCCTAGCGGCCCAAAATTTTTATGTTGTAAAAATGTTTTTTTTTAACAATAAAACGGCATTTAATGAAGTTTTAAAGATAATTATTGTTATTTAAACGATATATCTAAAGAAAAAATCACTTTCAGAAATTATTTTAATTTGTCATTTTTGTGAAGTTGGCGGCCCAGCGGCCTGGCGGCCTAGCGGCCCAAAATTTAAATGTTGTAAAAATGTTTTTTTTTTACAATAAAACGGCATTTAATGAAGTTTTAAAGATAATTATTGTTATTTAAACGATATATCTAAAGAAAAAATCACTTTCAGAGATTTTTTTAATTTTGTCATTTTTGTGAAGTTGGCGGCCCAGCGGCCTAGCGGCCCAAAATTTTTATGTTGTAAAAATGTTTTTTTTTAACAATAAAACGGCATTTAATGAAGTTTTAAAGATAATTATTGTTATTTAAACGATATATCTAAAGAAAAAATCACTTTCAGAGATTTTTTTAATTTTGTCATTTTTGTGAAGTTGGCGGCCCAGCGGCCTAGCGGCCTAGCGGCCCAAAATTTTAATGTTGTAAAAATGTTTTTTTTAACAATAAAACGGCATTTAATGAAGTTTTAAAGATAATTATTGTTATTTAAACGATATATCTAAAGAAAAAATCAATTTCAGAGATTTTTTTAATTTTGTCATTTTTGTGAAGTTGGCGGCCCAGCGGCCTAGCGGCCCAAAATTTTAATGTTGTAAAAATGTTTTTTTTAACAATAAAACGGCATTTAATGAAGTTTTAAAGATAATTATTGTTATTTAAACGATATATCTAAAGAAAAAATCACTTTCAGAAATTATTTTAATTTTGTCATTTATGTGAAGTTGGCGGCCCAGCAGCCTGGTGGCCTAGAGGCCAAAAATTTTAATGTTGTAAAAATGTTTTTTTTAACAATAAAACGGCATTTAATGAAGTTTTAAAGATAATTATTGTTATTTAAACGATATATCTAAAGAAAAAATCACTTTCAGAAATTATTTTAATTTGTCATTTTTGTGAAGTTGGCGGCCCAGCGGCCTGGCGGCCTAGCGGCCAAAAATTTTAATGTTGTAAAAATGTTTTTTTTAACAATAAAACGCATTTAATGAAGTTTTAAAGATAATTATTGTTATTTAAACGATATATCTAAAGAAAAAATCACTTTCAGAGATTTTTTTAACTTTGTCATTTTTGTGAAGTTGGAGGCCCAGCGGCCTAGCGGCCTAGCGGCCCAAAATTTTAATGTTGTAAAAATGTTTTTTTTTAACAATAAAACGCATTTAATGAAGTTTTAAAGATAATTATTGTTATTTAAACGATATATCTAAAGAAAAAATCACTTTCAGAGATTTTTTTAATTTTGTCATTTTTGTGAAGTTGGCGGCCCAGCGGCCTAGCGGCCCAAAATTTTTATGTTGTAAAAATGTTTTTTTAACAATAAAACGGCATTTAATGAAGTTTTAAAGATAATTATTGTTATTTAAACGATATATCTAAAGAAAAAATCACTTTCAGAAATTTTTTTGATTTTGTCATTTTTGTGAAGTTGGCGGCCCAGCGTCCCGGCGGCCTGGTGGCCAAAAATGATTTTTTAACAATAAAACACATACGCGTTATTTCATACTTGTTCGTGTTTTTGATAATATCGATCAGCCGAACAGGACATAAGAGTGACAGACTGGATCGCAGGCTAATATATGGTGTACAATTTCTGTAACAAATATGAATTGTCCTTTATGAAGTTTTAAAACATTTTTTCTGGTCCCATCCAATTTATTATCCCCGTTCAATCCATGAGTATAAGTCATCCTTTACTGACTTTACAAAATAACTTTTGCTTACACATTTATTAACAATAACTCATGATTACAGATAGGGCTATGGTCATACCCTAAATGATTGCCTCCTTGTTATTGGATGTAACTGAAAAGTTGAATGGTTGGGATTCTGATTGCTAGCACAAGTTATTCGGGTGAAAAATGTATTGAATGTTTCCATGTTGTCATTTTAACGCTATTTTTTGTTTAAATTTTAAACCGTTAACTTTTAATTTTTAAACATTGATTTGTTTTAACATTTGTATATGTTGTATGTTGCTTGTAAAAGTATGTAGTTGTTTACATTATTATCATGAATCACATGTTTGTCAATATATCGTTTTGTTATTGCTGTACTTTAACACTTCATTCCTATGGTGTTGTATATATGGATATTACCAGAATAAATGTACAGTACCTTTGCTTTGTAAGGTTTTGCTCCCATTTTCCATCTGCATCGCATAATTGTTATACCTCAACACCGCATAAATTATGGTAAAAAATACATTTTGTTACAATGGTGCCAATATTTGGAATAGAATCTTATTTTATAACGGTTATATTATTCTTTAAAATCTTTTGAAAGTAAAAATAAAAACATAACTTGTACACGAAATAAATATCTTTATAACCATATCATTATGTTATAATACTAAATTAT